TTTGGTTTACCGTTCCTGTGTGGTTCCCCCCGGTCGATGGGTGGTGGGATATTTATACCCAACACCGGCCGTTTGTGACTTCTGAAATACGGGGCTCGTTCCCGTCAACGTTAACGTGGTTGGCCGGCTATCCCGGGATGGGTCAGTCCCGAGAATTTCGGCCGGAAAATCTGGCTGTTCGGGTGTTGCTTGCTTGACCCCGTGAATCCCTCCTGTGCGACGCTGACTTGCCTGACTAGGGGTTTGCAAACCCTAAGCTATCCCGGGCTGGTTCAGGCCCCAAACAAGTCAGACCCATTGAACTTATTGGAGCCTGTAACAAAATGAAAATGAAAAATAAAATTAATAATAATAAAAATAAAAAAAGTAAAGAAATAAACAATAATATATATATATAAGAATATTTTCCAAAAGTCTATATAATATATATTTTCAAAAGTATTTTTAAATTATATATTATATATTTTAAAAAATGTTTTCAAAATTATATAGTTTTCAAAAATATTTTAAAACTATATACTATATAATTTCAAAATGATTTCAAAATTATATAGTATATATATGTTTTCAAAATATTTTTTTAAAACTATATATATTTACAAAATGTTTTAAAAATATATATAATATATATATATATATATTCAAAAATATTTTAAAAAATATATATTATATTTATTTTCAAAATATTTTAAAAACTATATAATATATAAATGTTTTCAAACATATTTTCAAAACTATATATTATATGTATGTTTTTTTAAAAATGTTTTCAAACTATATACAATATATATATATAATAAAATTAAATAATTTCGGGCGAAAAATGAGTGTCTACAAGACTCCATTTTTTAATAATATTGAAAACAGTGAACATAAGAAAGCACTCCTATTTTCTTAAACCTTCTATTCCAATCCAAGCATCAAAATGCAAATTGGGTGTTACCCAGTCTGCAAGACAAAGATATGGCCATTAAAACCCCCATTAAAGAACTAATTACCCTTAAAAAAAACCGAGAAAATTCGTTTAGTGGCTGACCTTGTGCTTTTTATTTGCAGTGCCTTATAAATAAGGAGGCTTTCCGTTTAATGGCTAAGCTTGTTGTGTTTTTTATGATTGGAACGATGATAGTTCTAAAAGGGGTGATTAAGATGGTGGTCGGAGAAGGAGCACGTTAGGGTGGGTGGTCGGAGAAGGAGAAGATGGGGTAGGGTGAGAGAGAGGGACGGTGGGGCAATTAAGTTTTTTTATTTAAATATTACACGTTATATTTTAATATTAATAATATATATATATATATATATCATTATATATTAATAAAAAAAGTCACATCATATAGATGTTACTGAGTAAACGGTTGAGTGATTAAAAATTTCGATGTCTAAAGTTTAGTGAGTAAATTGAAAAAATTGAAAGTAAGTAAGTGAAATAGGAAAGAGAGTAAAGTTTAGTGACTAAGCGCATAATTTACCTTATCTATAATTAATGTGATTTTTTATTTTGCATTATGTGAGTGGATTTTATCCATATAATAAAAAGATGATTTCATAACAATATTATTTAAATTTTAAATTTATAGATTTTTAAAATTATTATTTGTATTACAAAATATAAAATGAAAAATTAAAATGTAATTATTTATTGCTAGTCAAATATATTTAAAAAATTAAATTTTATTTTAATTATACTCACGTGTAATTATTAAATAATTATTATATTTTCATACAACTATACGATGGTGTTCAAACAGACTTATTTAAATATTATATATTTATTAAATTTTAATATATTATAATTTATTTTATATAAATTTTAATAAGTTCCTAATGTGTTTATATAATTTTTATTGTGTTATATATTTTCATAATAGAAACCATTAGTCTTATTAAAATATGAAAATACTCAAAATTACAATAAGAATTTATAATTAACCTCGTAAACTAAATACATAATTTGTATTTTTTTATGTAACATTAAAACAAGAAACTAACCACTTTAGATCATATAAGGATCATGGAATAGGTTAAAAACTCAATCAAAAAATTTGAATCGTAAATAGATACATACAAATATTACTGCTCAGTAAAAATGAAATAAAAAGAACGGCTAAACAACCAAGAAAAAAATATGAAAAACGTATTATAATGACAGAGAAAAATATGCTATAAAGATACAATTATTTTTTTATTAAAAAACTATATTAAAAAAGATAATTGACGGTCGACGACCAATATCAAAACCGATGATGCCGTCAACTAAACAAAATCAAAGAAGAAAATAAAGAAAAGAACAAACTTTAACAAGAAAAAAATATAGCAATTATTTCTAGGAAAAACTTTAAAGAGAGAGGGGGCCGATTAGGGTTTCTTCACATTTCTTTTACAAAAGGAATTATGATATTATAGTAAATAATTTGCTATTATATTTATAGGAAGTTTTTCCCTTATGTCAAAAAAAAAACCCCTTTAGTTTTTGTCTCCTCACGCTGTTTTATTTTTTTTATTACATCTTTGTTTTTTCAATAACGATATTTTCATAATGTAGTTTTCTCAATTTTAATGATATATTTTTTTATGCCTTTTTGATATATTTTTTATTTTGTTCATTGGTCGTTTGATTGATCACTTTTTTTTATTTTTTTTACGATTATATTTGACATCGTCTCGACTAATCATGATAACACTTATTTGTTATCCTATTGATTTTCCTTGTTTTATACCCTTATATTGGATTTAGATACATTGTTACATTCGTGGATAATTTTTTACGTCATTCCACACTGATTTACAACTTTTGGTGATATTTTAGTAGTTTGATCATCTTTTATGGTTCATTTATCAGTACAATAAAATATGTTATTATCTATCTTTCTTTGAGTTTTTTAATTGAAATTTTAATCTTATTATTATATAGTCATTGTATGATCTTAGGTAATTTTTTTGTGTCAATATCATATGAAATGACTTAATTATATGTTTAATTTATTATTATAGATATAATTATTTATTTCTATTTTTTAATAAAACTAACCACTTTTATTTTTGAAAATTATATAAAAAATAATTGTAAGTATTAAAAAAGATATATTATAAAACATAATAAATATTCAACTTTCCAATATCTTGTTCTTTCGTAATTAAATTATACCTAAAAGCCTAAAATCTATATATAAAAAAAAGCATGTACCTAATATCGGTTATAATATGACAAATTAACAACCTAATCAATACCTTATACCAAACAAAAGTTAACGACCCGAAAGTTTTTTTAATTAAAATTATTTTGATGTCAATAATATTAATTAAAGAAACTGTACGTTTTAGAAAATAATATGGGAGAAATATTCATTATTTTTTATTAATTGGGATAAGTATAATATAATATTTGTTTAAAGATAACTCGGTCATTTGATATTAAAGGTTTATATTCCTCACATTCTTTGTGTTTGAACTTGAATTATTAAGAAATAACAATAATTCATTTACTACTTAATAGCTCAATTCGTGCCAGGATTATCCACTGCTTAATGTAATAACATATTATGATTTATCACATCCCATGTATAGCTGGAAATTAAATAATGTAAAAAAGGTTAATGGACAAGTTGTCACTATACTTTAGTTGAAGATCGAAATTTGTCATGTTACCTCATTTTAATTGATTTTTAGCATTGTGCTTTTGTATTAAAGATAAATTTACAATTACTCTAACATAATTTAAACCCTCAAAAAATTAATTTCAATAGTTAATAAAAAATATTTTTCGAAGTTTCATTTTGATAACTAGAATAATAATTTAATGAATAAAAACATTAAGAATTAAACTTTTTATTTTTAAAGTAAAACTAAACTTTTCTAATAATACTTTCATTCTTCAAACAAAATCCTGCGTTAGATCCTTTTTTATAAATCAATTAATTATTAAAATTGATTTTTTTTTAAAAGTCACTAAACCTTAATTTTTGTTAAAAATTGATTAATTTATAAAATTATTTTTAATTAGTTTATTTAAAATTTTAATTTATAGCACTAATCAAGCGACTTCAGTGGTAAATAAATTGTTATAATTTCTTAAGGTTCTGGGTTCAAGCACCATATATATAAAAAATATGAGTGTTTAATGTCAAATAATTGATAATTATCTTTGAACATATCTAACACGCTCGATGAGCACCGATGAACACCATTAACGATAAACACTATTAATTTAATTATAAAACTTTAAAATTAGAAAGTACTCAATGTGTAATTATAAATTAGTTAAAGATCTAAACGTAAATTATTTAAAATGCAATATTAATTACATTATTTTTATAATTTTATTTTAAATAATAATGAGATAAAATATTAACTCTTAGACTGAAAAATATTAAATTCTTTTTTTTTTTGGAGCTGTCGCTGCTATTATCATCGACGTCACCTCTGTTGTCGTCATCTTCGTTGCTGCCGTCGTAATTGCTCTACTGTTGCCATGTTAAAACAAGAAAAAAATTAGGATTTTTTAATTTAAGGGTTAATATTTGATCTAATTATTATTTAAAATAAGATTATAAAAATAATATAATTAATATTTTATTTTTAAATAATTTACGTTTAGATTTTTAACTATTTTATAATTACATGTTGAGTATTTTATATTTTAAAGTTTTATAAATTAAATTAATAGTACTCCTCATTAATAGTGTTCATCGATATTCGTCGAACGTCGTAATTTTTTTTATTGTTTTATACTTGTCTTTATATTAATAAAAAGGTTGATTTATAATCTATAACTATATTCCAGATAAAATAAACCGAATAAAACCACTGTTTGACTGTTAATTTCAGCATCTCCCGTTTCACTTTATGTCCAACGAATACGAAGTAAAGCATCATCCATACGGAACCAATAAATATAAAGTACAATATTGATGTATATTAGCCTTAATAAAAAAAATTATATTCAAATTTTATAAATAATATTATTAAAGAGTAATTAATCTAAACATAAATCATACAGTATATGTAAAAATATTATTTTAGAATGATAGGTTTATTTTATTTTTTTTACACTACAACACTCTTGTTTCTTCATCCTCAAAAAAGGACAAGAAAAAAGAGAGGACAAACCAAGAAAACCCACGTTACCCACCAATTTTCTTTCTCTAGCACCAGTTTTAATTTACAGAAAGAGAGAAGAGAGATAGAGATCAGCTAGCTTTTATTTTCTTCGCAGAGAATTTTGATGAAAGTTATTGTAGACTTTAATATATCTGTTTAGATGATTAATGGTGCAGTTTGTTCGGACATGACGGTAACGTTATTGCATGGCCATGCAGATGATGGAAACTGCTGCAGTTGCTTGAAAAGCAATATTTGACGGAGCATACTGTATTCGGATCGGAGGCGGTCGTTGTCGGTCCTCACACGGTGGCTGTGGTACAAAAGGAACCTCAAACGGTTGGACAGTTGTTGGTTCTCGATTCTAAGCTGGTTGGCTTGGTTCCTTAGGTTTTCTAGGTGCCTTTGTTTACGCATCCGTGACCTCCTGGCTGATTCCCTGTTCGATATCATACGTCTGCGCTTTCGCTCGTCCATGATGGGAACAGTTTGGTTTGATTCATCCAAACCGGAATTGGAATTGGAGTGGGTTTGGGTTTGGTTTTGGTTTTGATTTGCTTCGCTTGAAGCTGAACCCAACCCGGCAGGTCCTACTGATTGGGTAGTGGTAAAGAGTTGGGAGCAATCCCATCCGCTTTCAAGAGGCGGAATTGGATTACTTTCGACCATGGGGTTGGAGCAAAACGTTATCGGATCAGTGAACAGCATGGCTTTAACAGGACTTAGCAATAAATATAGCAGTAAATAAAAGAAAATATACCAAAAACTTCTAAAAGTTTCATATGGGGGGAGGTAAGGAGGAGGAGAAAAGGGAAGAAATGCAGCGTAGGGGGCTCGTATTTATGGACAAACTTGCGGACTGGTGTGGGTTCCACTTAATTGAATGAAATATTCAACTCAAGGATATTTTGGTAAACTTATCTTACGTATCATAAATAATTAATGGAGAATTATTCATGACCTCTTAAATAAGGTTTTGGAAAGCTAGGTTTAAATTTTGTTGCAAATATAGTTAAAATATATAAAAATAAATATATAAAAATGGAGCCGGTGGGATTTTTTTAATCCTGCTATGAAAGTAGACTTTTTTATTAAAAATTATTTATTAATTTAGTATTTACTATTAATTATTTTTCAAAATGATATTAAACATATCACATTAAAAAAGTATGTTAGTCTATCAAATTTTAAAATTTCAAAAGACATAATATTAAATTTAAGGGTAAACTATATAAATAGTCATCAAATTTTCAGGGCGCTTGCATTTTTGTCACCCAACATTTGAAACTTACACCACAATCATCAAACTTTTAGTTTATTTGCATCACAGTCCTTGTCGTTATCGGCCGTTAGTAGAAAATGATATGGCACGTTAGTATGTTGTTTGGGCATTTTAAAACATAAAATAAAGATTCTGAAATGGCGTTGTATTACATTTACCCTAAAGTTAAATGGGTTTACTTAGTATTAACTTATCATATTAAAAAGATTTCCCAAAACACGCGTAAGGAAAAATTAGGTTTGGTTTGGGTTTTTTTTTTAAAGATTATTGATTGTTATTCAATCGAAATGAGGGAGAGAAGGAGTTGATCGATGGTTTGTTCAACTATGGCGAATGATAAGTTATTTTTTTATTTATTTGAAAATTTTTGAATGTTTTAATTCATTTGAAAATCTTTGAATGTTTTGATTTATAAGTTTTTAAAGGGCGTAACTTTTTATTATATTCTAAAATTTTCTTTTTCACTTTGAAATCTTTTGAAATCTGAAATTGAGTTATTGTTAGTTTTCATAAATTTAGGTTAAATTGGGGAAATCTAAAATCTAGAATATGAAATTCTAGGATAAGCATTTTGATTTAGTTGTAACTCTTGATAAGTTAGTGTTACTATTTGATTGAGTTTGATGTGTAATTGTATGGGTATTGACTGTATCTGATTTTAGATTTATAGCTAGGGGAGATGCACCTGTTATTGTTGTTGGATGGCATTGAATATTGTACTTGAATATAAAACCCTTTGAATTAGGATTATTGTGTGGCATCTTTTATTGATATGTCATATTAGTTTTCACGTGTATTGGACAGTGCATTTCAATATAATATGTTAAAATTTGTTGTTATATGAATAGTGGTGGTTGGAACTTTGTTGGTTTTATGGTCCATAGGGTGTAGAGTAAATTGTTTTGTCATGTTGCACATAACTGACTCTTTTCTTTTTCTTTTTCACTTATATATCTTTTCCTTGTACTTAACTTTGTCATAAACTAGTGAAAATGAAATTGAAGAATCTGAAGGTTCTGATACCCATCTGACCATGAAATTGAAGAATATGAATTTGTAGAAAGTGAAAATGAAGCTTTTGATACAGCTGAAGAGGTTTGTTATATTTTTGTGACTGGTTGTGTATAAGAAAACCTTGGTTTTGTTCTTAACCAAACTACTAGCAATAGTTTGTCTTCTGATAGTGATGATGATGCACAATCATTGCATAGTGCTTATTCTTGTGATAGTATTGTTGGTAGTAAAAAAACAAAGGTTTCTTGAGTTTAATACTGAGTTAGATATAGCATGCCCTACTTCAAATAAAAATATGATATTTGCTGGGAAGGAAGTCTTGAAAGATGCTATTAGACAGTATGGTAGGGTTAAAATGTTTAGCATGTCGTTTAAGTAGAATGATAATTGAAGAGTGCAAGTTGTGTGTAGTAAAGGAACTTGTTCTTGGAAATTATGGGAATCTAAGTTGAACCCTAGGGATCCTAATGATGAGGCATATCATATCAAAACAATTAATAATGAACATAATTGTCAAATATGAATACAAAATCAAAGCTTGATATCTGTTAGGTTGATTGCCAAAACATTTTTAGCCAAATTTAAGACTGACCTCAATTATTCAATTGTCTCACTACAACAAGATATTAGAGAGGCTCATGGAACTTATGTGTGTTTAGCAGAATGTTCTAGGGCTAGGAAGTTGGATGTACAACAGGTCTTAAGTTTTTTTAAAGAACAATATAGCAAAATATATGAATACCTACGAGAACTGAGACACTCAAATCCTAGTACAACCACAATATGCAAGTTAGATAACCGACTGTTTGTTAGGTTGTACATATGTTTGGAGGGTTGCAAACAAGGTTTAAAAACCACTGCAGATCCTTTATTTCTCAGGATGGATGTTTTCTTAAGTGTTATTATCTGGGGTGCATATTGGCTGCTGTGGGAATTTATGAAAATGACTGCATTTATCCCATAACAGTGGCTGTTGTGGAACCTGAAAATTGTGATAGTTGTCAATGGTTTCTACAGATATTAGGAGAGGACTTGGACATTAACAACTCTCATCATGTGACATTCATGTCTGATAAACAAAAAGTAAAAGTCTAAGTTTGATATTTATTTGCTACTGTTTGTACATCTAATAAATATTTAATTGATGTTGTTTGTACATGGTTATGTGACAGGGGCTTGCTGACTCCATTATTGTATTATTTCCTAATACTGAACACAGAATTTGTGTTCGTCATTTATATTCAAATTTCAAGAATGTTGACAGCTATAAAGGAAAAGCCTTGAAAGATACTTTGTGGAAAGTTGCAAGGGCAACTATTGTTAGGGATTTTGATAGAGCAATGTCAGAAATTAGAGGGCTGTCAGAGGATGCTTACAACTGTTAAAGTCAAAGGATCCTGTCATGTGGTCCAAGTCTCATTTTTCCATAAGGTCAAACTGTGACATCTTGTTAAATAACTACTCATAATATTTCAATAAGGTAAATATAATTTCAATATTTATTTACTGTTTCAATAAGCTAAAATTTATGTTTACATGTTTACTCAAAGGATGTTTATTGGTTCAATAAATTATATGTTTCAATAAGCTAAAAAACATGGTTAATGTTTCAATGTTTTAATGTTTATTGTTTCATTTGCTAATGTATTTTTCAATGTTTTTCACAATGATTACTGTTTTTTGTTTACTAATAATATTTATTGTTTCAATCTTTCAAAATCTATTTATTATTTACTATTTCTGGAATATGTTTAGTTACCAATGAACATATTTTTCAATATGATTCTCGAGGCAAAGGACAGGCTCATCCTGACCATGATGGAGATTATTCGTACCAAGATAATGCGTAGAATTTCAAAAAAGGGAGAAGTTATTCAGAAGTACACTGGTTTACTATGTCCTAAGATTTAAAAGAAGGCGTACACATTAATTAGGCAAGTTGTTAGGTATTAGCCATCAGATGCTGGGGGTCTAAGATATGAAGTTGCATTTGGTTCATCTGACCAACATGTGGTGGACCTAAAAGTTAGAGATTACTCTTGTAGAAAATGGGGTATTACAGTTATAACATGTCATTTAAGACATATTTTAGTTATTTCCTTCTACATTTGTAGAACTACTGTTAGGAAATGGTACATCTAATACCTTTATGTTTCTCAACAGAGATCTCATGTGCACATGTTGTTTCAGTCATGTTATTGACTTAAGATAGGCTAGAGAACTATATTGACAACTGCTACCATAGGTCAACTCAAATCCAACTCTACTCTAACTTTATCTACACTATCATAGGAGCAAATTAGTGAGAATCAATCCCATAAATGGATCCAATACTTCATCCAATTCAAAAGAGGCCACCTGGTAGGCCTAAAAATAAAGGAAAATGTTGCCAATGAATAAGAAAATGGTCATAATATGGGCAAAAAACCCTAGAAATTAAGTGCAAGAATATGGTAAAGTGGGCCACAATATAAAGACTTGTAGAGGTCAAGTTAGAGGAAATTCCAGGCTTAACAAAACACTTGATGCAACATATGTATCAAGTGAACCTCCAACACCTTCAACAACAACAAATAGAGCTGCTTCAAATCCAACACTTTTAATGTTTTGATCATCTTTATTTGGTGCACCTCCAGGGTTTCAATCATCTTTAGCTAGCAGAGTACCAAAAATACATGTGAGTATTTAATTATCTACCTTTCACTCTATTATTTCCTTTTCCTTTAACTTACAAGTGTATTCAATATTCCCATAACAGTTTAGAAGGGCCACTGTAGCAACTGCCTAAGTGCCAAGTCAATCCTCATCAACTGAGAAAAGGAATAAGATCAAACAGATAACAAGAGGGCAAATCCCACCACCACAACAACAACCAACTGCATATCAGGTTTTTAGATGGATGTTGTAATCACTTTCCCCCTCTTAAAACATGGTTATGCAGAATTCACAAGAATCAATTTCAAGTTTCAAACCACAGAATAATTGATGGATGTTAAGTCTTAGTGGTCATTTTTTGTATACAAATTTGTATTTTTTGTATATAGCTTGGTCATTTTTTGTATATGTCTTAGTGGTAATTTTAATTATGGCTTAGTGGCTTAGTCAGAATGGTAAAGCTCCCAAAAAGATATACCATGATATATGGTAACATTTTGATGTATTTTGAGAAACAAAATGGTACAAGGTACAACAATACATATATTATATAACTTATACCATTTTCACTTAATGTTTTATCAATGAAAGAAGTTATTTGAATTATTACTTAGACATGTTAATGAAATACATTTTTCAGCCCTTATACCATTTTCACTTAATGTTTTATCAATGAAAGAAGTTATTTGAATTATTACTTAGACATGTTAATTGAAATAATACATTTTTTCAGCCACTTGTTTGATTGATTTTCAATGAATATTTTATGGTTGGTAAAACAACATTCAATCGAAAAGATGTGGAAATTCATCTTCAATTGGAAATTACATTTGATGTGACAATTATATTTTCTTAAGTTTTAGCCATCAATGGCAGAACATTGAACCAGTAAA